GAATTGTTTTTCTCTCTTCCCCTTATCTGGCTCTAAAACTTTGTGCTGCCCAACCTGACTTTGTAATTCTGTTTCTTACTTGTTTATTATTGATTTTGTTCTTTTCTAGGTTTATTTTTTGACGTTTTTAATGTTCTGTTTCTCCCTCCAGGCCAGTATAAAGGACTTGAAGTATTTTTGAATAATTTCCCCAAATGAATTTCAGAAGTGCCATTCTGATTTTAGGGTTTTATTTTTTTAAATCACTTTATATGCCTATTTCCAGCACTGACTATCTTCATAATCTATTAGGGCAGAACGATTTGCAGTCATTCATATCCTGTGATTCGGTAATTGAATCATTAGCTCTCAGCAGTCGCCCTGAGGCAAGTGGAAACAGCTCTGGGCAGGCAGTGCTCTAGGGTCACTGGGAACATCTAAAAACAGGAGGCTGGAGGTACTGTGAAGGCTTTAAACGCAGCTACCTTATTAAATAGGGTTTGTATCGATATTGGAATGAAGATAATCTTTCTGATTTTGGGTCTTTCACTTGCTGTTGTAGTTGTATGTGTTTAAATACACCTTGTAGGTTTGTGCTTTTATAATCTTTAATTTGAAAATATTGTGTCCCCATGGTTGCCTTAATTTCCCCAGCTCTAGATGCAAATATTTAAATGGCTCCAATTGTTAGAGGTATCCGTGGATGGTATAAATGCACCCCCTCTCCTTGGCCTCGGGTGTGTAGGACTAGAATAGAGGCCATTTCCTCAGTCCCCTGAAAAAGGCTGAACCAATGTGGCCATGGGTGGGAACTTTTAGAACCCAGTGAAGAACTTGACTGTCTGAACAAATGTATTGGTCTTCTCTCAGAGCTTTAAAACATCTAACAAACGCGAAAATTATGGAGCTCTGAGATCCAAGAAGAAAAAAACAATGTTTCTGAAAGTGGCGATAACTACTTTTAAAGTGCTGCATATTTATACAACTGAGAGATTATTTTTGTAAATGAAATGTCTGTGAGCTGGAATATGTGGGCAGTGCTTCAGGCATTTAAATCACTTTTTACTCCTAGGGAGATGCAAATAAACAGAACTCTCTTATTTCTTCTGAGTTTTCATGCATTTGTTTTCCAAGCTTATGTTGCCTTTAGAAACTATTCTTATTTATTATAAAATCTTGTAATCCTAAACACTATGATGTTTCTTATAGATGAAGAAAACATCAGTTCTGATCTCTGAAACCTCCAGGCTCTCCCCTTTTCCATCTTCTCCCCTTCCCCCTTCTCCCGTGGCTTTAACATAAGTAGTGATGTCTTTAACTGAAGATATAATTTGTGGTGTCTAAAATGATTTTTTTTACCAGATCACGTCAAAAACATGCCCAATAAAATTGTATTTCTCTTTCAATATTATGAATTTATTCAAATAGTTTTGTTTTTTTAAATCAATATGTATGAGCACGGGTATAGAAAAACGTGCTTACTTGGAGGTTTTCTTCCTAGAAAGGCCGTTATAAATATCTACTCTAGGAAGGTCTTGAAATTAGACATATCCATATTTGGCAATTGAAAAAGAAACATTTCAGCTTATGCCTTATTGCCTTCTCCGGGCAGCCAGCACACAACAGATGAAGACCGAAGCCATAATTACACACCCTAAACCTATAGACGCAACTTGTAGGCACTACGAAATTTCTTTTAGAGGCCTTTTTGCCTCTCAGGGAAATGGCAGCTGAGTGACGCGGTGCCTCGTCGTTGTTAGCACCCAGGTACAATTTAGTGGTTGCTAACTTTTTGGTATGTAAGTTAAATACAGATGTTTAGAACCTCACACAATATATAAACTCTTCTGGCGGGAGGGCTCCTTTATGGATCTGCCAGAAAAAAAACCGCAGAAATCCCAGGTTCGGAGCTAGTTTCGTTTTCTCTGGCCGGGCTTGATTTCTTTCATATCTTGCAACTGATTGCGGGGCAGCCAACTTCGTTTTGAGAGAGAGAGAGAGATACAGAGAAAGAGATAGAGAGAGAGAGAGAGAGAGAGAGAGAGAGAGAGAGAGAGAGAGAGAGAGAGAGAAAGTGACCACGATTCAATCTCTGGAGAAGAAAGAACCCCTGAAACTGGGGCCACACTGTCCCGGACCTTTCACTTCGGGAAGAATTACTAATATTTTCTGTTTTTCTCACAAGATGTGTTTTCATTCGAAACGGGTTTGTTTTCCCTTCTTCTCCACCGTCGTTTTCCCTCCTTCGTTGTAACTTCCAGACTCTAGGGCCGCACTCCATTTCCCGGGTCCATTTCTCAGGTTTCCTATCGTGGATGGGGGGATTGCCTCGAGGTTTTCCTTTCATCTGTAGTTTGCCCGTCAGTTTCTCTTCGCCTAAGAGAAATCGGAGGTTTGCTGAAGATTAAAACTGCGCTCAAGCACTCTCCGGTGGAATTTGAATTGAGAGCTAAATCACTAACAGATGAAGACTTTGTTATTTATATGCATTCCTTTTATATTCCGAATTGAGGAGGGAGAAGGGGAGCCGGTCATTGGCCAAAGCGGTGGAAGGGAGGCCTCCGGGAAGCCTCGAGGCGAAGGGAGCTACGGGGAGAAGCCTTTCCTTCGGGTGCAGAACGAGAGGCCGCAAGGAAAGCGCCTCCGAAACCCGGTAGGTTTTGAGCGCCGCTGGTGGAGAATCAAGGCCCGCGCGTCTGTGCGTGATTCAAGAGGCAAAGGAGGCTTTGGAGTGGGTACGCATCGCCAGACAAAGGAGAGGCGCGACGCTTCCCGGTGTCTGGCAGTCAGCCGAGTCCTTCTGGCTCTGCTGTCCCGGCCAGCCTTGCCGCCACGATCTCCGGCTTTCCAAGACGCTCGGCCGCGCCTGGCAGCGGTCCGTGACCGCACGGGCTGGCGACTCAAGGCTGGCTGCGCCGCCCTTCACTGTTGATCTTGACCGTGCGGCTGCGCCTCGCCAGGCGTGGAGCTCGCTCGCCATCTCCTGGGCACTTGGCGGCATTGGCAGAGCTCGCTGTTTAACTCCGCGGCCACATCCTCCTTTCCCATTCTCCAGTTCACCCGTCGAGCCTCCAGCCCCCTCCTCCCTCGCCTCCCTCCCTCCCTGTCCCCAGCTCCCAGCTCCACTCATCCAACTTTGCCTGCTGGGACCTCGGAAATCATAAACCCAGGAGATGAGGTGGGCGGCTGGGTACCATTCTCAGTAAAGGAGAAATGAAGGGAATCTAGTTGTTCTAGTCTTTTCTGTCTCACTTAGTTCCTTTATATCTTTAGTCCCAAGGGGCAAACTGCAGCTGTGCGGCTGCCTAACAGTGTGGGGTACACTTGAAAATACCGGAGAATCGCTGTATACTGAGAAGGGAGGAGAGGAGACGGCAGGGACCCCTGGAGCTAGAGCTCTTGGGCCTGGGGAGGCTGTAGCTCCTCGAAAACAGGGCGAGTTTCCAAAAATAAGAGCCTGGGTCCCCTAAGGCCCTAGAAAGTGAGGTTGCAGCTTGTGTCTACCTCCGCCGCCCCCCACTCAGCCACCCATGAAAAGGACGGGGAGTGGATTGCGTCTCTATGTCTGAGCTTCTAAGGAAACTCTGACAGAGCCCTGAGAAGCCCCTGTCTTGCCCACCTCCACTCCCTACCCCGCCCTAGAGCTGGAGGCCGATTGCGTTCCCCAGAGCCGCCCAATTGGTAGCCATAACTCACACAATAAAGTCGCAGCGCGGTGGTCAGCCTTGCCCTCCGGCGGCGCCTGTGTGGTCTCCATGCCGGAGCTGGCGGTCTAACCAATTCCAGCTTGGCTCGGGACCGCAAGGAGGGCTGCAGGCTGGGGAGGGCTCCAGTCACGGGGTCGCTGGGGGGTCTTAGGACCGGAGGCAAGAGAGGAGGACCCCTAGTCTTCCGGCCAGACTAGACCAGAGGGCCTGCGGCGGGGACTGCCACATTGCTCCGGGCGACTGCGCGCTGCCCCGCCCACCTCCCTGTTCTCCAGACCCCGGAATCTGCCAGCCGCCTGCGCCCCTGGAGGCTCTGAGCAGAGGAATGCTGATAGCGGTCTCCCTCGGTGTACCCCGCTGTTCCCGACCGGTGGTGGCTCTGGCTCTTCTCTCCTTCCACACCAGGACAGGGGAGCTTGTCCTGCTCTGCCCGCCACAGAATGGATAAACACTTGGAATTCTGGTTTGCAGTATGTAGTCGCCAAGTGATTCCTGGTGATGAAAGGAATATAGCCTTTGGCCATGATTGATCCATCAAACTGCCGGGTCCTGGGCCTCCATGGACCTGGATGGCGACTTCGTCAGGAGCAGAGGGCTTGGCCATGAAGAAATTCACCAGGAGTGGAGTGAAGCTTCTTTCCTGGGCACCAAACTTGGGCAGAGTTTGTGATGCACTTCTCAACCAGCAAATCTCTTGGACTATGTCTGCAGCCTGGGATCCAGGGCTCAGGCAGCGCGTGGGTTCTCACTGTCAGATCACTGGTGAAGAGTCCTCTCCAGAGAGACAGGGCGGGGAAAGATGGGGCAGGAGTAGCATTGCTCAGGTCTAGGGGCCAAGCTGGTGGCCTTATCAGAACACGAGTTGTCCGGACAAGCGAAGAGTCACTCGGTACTGGAAAAGGCCTCAGCTGCAACTTACAGCAGGTAGCAGTAAGCCTGGCTCAGGTAGCCGGCGGAAAACGGGAGTGCAAAGCCAATAAAGACCAAGAAGGGTCCCAAGGGACACTGGGGCAAAGGCACCCTATGCTTGATGCCCCCAGCTCCTGCCGCTGGCCCCGGAAAATCGCAGAGGCTTCACTTTCGCTCAACGTGCCTTAGCTCTGCATGGCAGCCTTGTCCTTCGCCATCGAATATTTCGGTGTTATCATAATACCCTGAAGGGGGGGAAAACGGGTCGGGGGATGTAGGCGGTGCTGAAATGACCGGCTTTGAAGAACCTGCAGGCAAAGTTTCGTCCAATCGTCTGAGCCTGTCCTCTTATTCCCGGTTGTAACTAAATACTGCTGCGAGCGCAGCCGAAGCCCTTTGTTGGAGATGTGTGAGCGCAGTCTCTACAGAGCGGGCTATGTGGGCTCGCTTCTGAATCTGCAGTCGCCTGACTCCTTCTACTTCTCCAACCTGCGGCCGAATGGAGGCCAGTTGGCCGCGCTTCCCCCTATCTCATACCCGCGCGGCGCGCTTCCCTGGGCTACCACGCCCGCCTCCTGCGCCCCAGCGCAGCCTGCCGGTGCCACCACCTTCGGCAGCTTCTCGCAGCCCTACCTGGCTGGCTCCGGGCCTCTTGGCCTGCAGCCCCTGGGCGCCAAGGACCGACCTGAAGAACAGGCAAAGTTTTATACGCCCGACGCGGCCGCTGGGCCTGAGGAGCGTGGCCGTGCGCGGCCGCCTTTTGCCCCCGAATCTAGCCTGGCCCCTGGGGCTGCTGGTCTCAAAGCGGCAAAGTACGACTACGCGGGCGTGGGCCGTGCCGCGCCAGGCTCTACGGCCTTGCTTGAGGGGACCCCCTGCGCCGCCGGCTTCAAGGATGACGCCAAGAGCCCGCTCAACTTGAACATGACAGTGCAGGCAGCGGGCGTCGCTTCTTGCCTGCGACCTTCGCTGCCCGACGGTAAACGGTGGCCATGCTCCCCGGGCCAGTCTGGGCCGGAATGGGAGGTGGGGTGCAGGGGAGAGTGTGCAGGGGGAGGGACCCTCCGGGGGCGGACAGGCAACAGGGAGCGGGCTGGGCTGACTTTGGTTGGGGCTGTGTTGCAGGCCTGCCGTGGGGGGCGGCCCCTGGGAGGGCCCGCAAGAAGCGGAAACCCTACACCAAGCAGCAGATTGCGGAGCTGGAGAACGAATTCCTCCTTAACGAATTCATCAACCGGCAGAAGCGCAAGGAATTGTCCAACAGGCTGAACCTCAGCGACCAGCAGGTCAAAATCTGGTTCCAGAACCGGCGTATGAAGAAGAAGCGCGTGGTGCTGCGGGAGCAGGCGCTGGCGCTGTACTAGCTCTGGGCCTGGCCGCGGCCATGCCTGCCTTTTTGAGCCGAAGCCTGACGTGGAGGAAGAGCTGGGACTGGGGCTTTTCCTTCCGCTCCTCTTCCGTTGGTCCTAGGTACCCTCCCTCTCACTCTGCATGCAGTCCCAGAAGCCAGCAGGAGATTTGGAGACCTGGACAGTTGGGCCTCCACGTTTTCCCCTTTCTCGGAGGAGCTTGGGAAGTTGCAGCACAATCTTGGCCCTGAGGCTTCCCAAGTGGGGGCGTGGGGTCACCTGTCTTAAGTTTTGGCTGAGGCATTTACACCCGCGGCTCATTCTAGCTCCCTTTTACTTCGATTTCTGCTTTCACCTGGTTAGTCTCCTTTTCCCTTTCTCCCTAACCCTTTCTGCGTCAAGCACGCATCTACCAAAAGCTCAGAGTTGAGTTGGATTTAGGAAGGCCCCCCCAGGGCAGAGTGGAAAGGGCTGTGGGCACAATTATGTCTCGTTGCAGCCAAAGACCCTTGTGGCAAAGCTAGAATCTCGATTGTGGATGAAGGAAAGGGCGACGCCACCACCCGCCTTCTTTCTGCTCTGGCTGCTTAGGGAAGACAAAAGCTGCCCTAGACCTTCAGACTTGGGAGGAAAGGGGAGGGAGGGGCATGGTGGCCGGACAAACTCGGAGACACCTCGGAGTTCAGGCTGGACTGGCCCTTCCAGCTGTGCAGAATGGACTGAACACTTCCTTCTTATGGACAGGACAAGGGAGGCTGGGGATCCATGGCAAACTGCAATCTCCAGCCAAGACTGGTAAAATTCCCCTACTTCCCTCACCTCCTCACATATGCCTAGGCCAGAGCCCTGCACTCTGTAATTGGACCCCCAGAGCTGCACTCTGGTGAGGAGCTGCTAGTCTGCCTTGAGTCTGGGCTGCACTAGAAGGAGAGGGAAATGTCCAGGGGCAGAAGGGAGTGAGCAAGGAAAGGGGGGTGTCCTACAGTCTGACTGTAAATACAGCTTTCCTGTCGAGGTGGGTAAAGGTGTCAATGTGTGTCTTTCTTTCTTGAATTACAGTAATGGGCCACCACAGGGGGACGTGAGAGCTCCCTCACCAGTCAGGGGGCTCCTCAGATCCTCAGCCCTTCATCACTGCTCTTGATGAAGTAGAGGGGAACAGAAGTTCCCCTCTTCACCACCTGCCAACTCCATCAGGGCCCAGCCACTCTGGCCTTTCTGAGGCCATCTCTGGTGTGCCCCAGTGGAGCCAGTGAGGCCCTGGCCCTGCCAGGCTTGCTTTGTGGGGTTCCTGAATGCCAGATGGAGTTGTTCTAGGTGTGTTGGATTGTCCCACTTTAACTTCAGTGAACCTGAGGGCCCCCCTAAACTCCTACCATCCCTGCTTCTTTTTCCTCTCCTGAGAAGTAGCGCCCCCAACTCCTAGCAAGATGCACAACAACCAAAGAGTTAACGATTCCTTCCCAAAGCCCAGTGATTTGTTTTCAGTGCAGGACCAAGCACTAGATCTAGAGTGGGCACCTCACAGGGAGCCCTGAGCCTCAACCCATCTGACCTCAGTTATGTTTAGATTAATTACATTTTCTCTGCTATCTAATAGTTGTCATGCATGTTTTGTTTTGAGTTTGTGGAAAAAAACAACAACAATAGCTTGTATATATCAGACGTATAGAAATGTTTTGAGTGGAAATAAATATCCAGGTCCCAGCCAAGCTGTCAAGGGATTGATGTTGATTTCTCAAAATGTTTCAGATTCCCTCCTAATGGTTTTCAGGCCACGAAATTCGTTTGTTTGTTTGTTTTCTTTCCTGGTTGGTTTCACTGTGGGCATTGAATTGACTATTTATTAAATGAGAAAATGGCTTCCAAGTCAGTAAGGAAATGGTATATAAAAGCCTAGGAACAAAATGTGTATGAAATATTCAAAGGGGGGGGAACCACGGACAGATTTGAGTGTGTCTTACACACTAAGCAAACTGTCATCTTGTTGCAGGCTGAGGCTTCTGCATTTTGTCTAAATCTCAAACTTGGAAGCGTGCTGTTATCAAGAGGCTGCCAAGATATGAGGTTCCTCAGATTTCAATACAAAACATCTCTCCCTGCCATGTTTTTGTCAAGCTTCTTTCTAAAAGGTTTTATGCCCTGTGGAAAACCTCCATACGGGCACCTCTGCCTGGAGCCCAGCAGAGTCCCTTGGTAAATGTGGCCTCTGCACCCCCTAGGCCTTCAGAGCCTCTAGCTCAGGCAGAGAAAGCTAGGACCTACTCAATATTCACCATACTCTTGCAAACCCCAGCTCCAGGTAGCTGGGAGATGTAAAATAGAGAGTTGCTAGCTTTTACCAAGGAGGACAATTAACAAAACCACGAAATCTCTAATACTGAATATTCAATGGTTCCAACTCCCCTTCCCTGAAGATAATTTGATGTGTATTTTTAAAATATATTTTAAACAGCTCCTTAAAAAAATACAACGGGGGAAAAAAAGAACCAAGAGGTTTCGGAGGCCCTCTCTTTAGAAATGTTTCCCCACCTTGTGGGGCTCAGGGAGGCGGTGATAGTCGGAGCTGGTTCTCAAAACACCCGAACAAAGGCAGAGGCCATACTCAGACCTCAGGTTGGGAGGGCTGGGTAAAGGACCAGGAAACCGGACTTAGATCCAGGCCCTAAGAAAACACACGGAGGCCATTTTCCCTCCAATATATACCATTAAATAATCATGTTCTTTCTCTTTAGCCTGGGATGTGGGGTGGGAGGAGATATTATTCTTGGAGACCATTCCTCAAAGAGATTGAAATTATTCTAGGTGTAAAATCTTGTCTGTCGATTTGGGCTTTGGCAATGTTTTTCAAATCTATCCCTTTTACTGATCCACACAAATACAAAGGCTGCGGTGTCCTCTCTCCCTTCCTAGCTGAGGTCCCGGCAGGGATTTGGAACCACGACGAAATTCATAAGAAACAAACGCTGGAGAGAAATGATGCTGAATTCTGAGTGCTCAACATTCTCTCACACAAAGACAAATTCGTCCTCCGAAATGCTGTAGTCCTTGCAGGCCTCTTGACCAAGAAAAAATGTTTTTAAACAAGAAAAAAAACGACTTCGTCTGGCATTCAATCGGCTGCGAGCTCAGAGGGCCTACGGGGGACGCTTTTAAGGCCTGGGGGCTCTCCCCAAGGGAGGCGGGCTGGGGAGGCTTCCGGGAGGCTGGCGGGTGGAGGAGAAATCCAGAACCTTTGTAAATATTCATATGTGTGTGTGGGGGGGGTGGGGGCGGGTTGCCCCTTCACCCCGCCTCTCCCAGCTGCATCCACCACCCACTTTAGTGGGGGTTGGGGGGGCACGGCGCCTGTCCGATCGTCCTTGGACAAAGGTGATCTCCCCACATTTGTTCTCCAGTCCGTAAGGAGCCTGTTCCGAAGGCTCTGCAGGAAGGGACTGGCTCTTGGTGTTTTCCCCGCGTTTGTCCTCTTCTTTCGTTTCCTAAAAGAGCATAAATAATTAAAGTTTGGCAGGGAGGAAAAGCTTTCTTGCAGAACTGTAGTGGCAATAAATGAAATGACTCAGAATCCCTTCCCCAGTCAGCTTTTACGAGAGCTGCCAGACAGTGTCTGTTCACGTTCTCCAGATACCAGGGGCGCCCTGACAAAGTTAAGGTCAAGTTAGTGTCTTATCTTGGGTGGCTCAAAATTACCGCATCGCGTCTCGGCGCTGCGCGGAAAGCTACCACTCGCGGAGCTGCTGGCTGTGCCGGGAGGGTTCGGTGCGCTCCCTGCGCTTCGAATGGGGCCGCGCAGACAAGGACAAGGCCACAGCGCCGAAGTCTTCACGGTAGGTTCTCCAGCGGGACGTGCGGGTCGGGAGGGAGTCTGTGGTTTTCCTTGGGTTTCGGGGTGACGATCGAGGAGGAAGCTGGGGCCAAAGGGCGAGGCGAGCTGAGCCCAGAACGAAAGCCCTGGCTTGGGTGTGGGGGCCGGGATCTGTGCAAATGCGCGGAGAGGGGCCTGCCACCCGGTTCTCCTATGCACCCGCGCGCCGCTGCGGATGGCGCACCCTCCCCCGCTAAAGCGCGGCTCCATCCGGAGCTGCCGTCGCCATGTCGTTGAACTTGAATGGTTCGTCCTCCCCATTTCCCTCTAAGGCGGTCAGCAGGCTCTACTTTAGGGGTAGCGGGCTGCCTGCGCCCCACCCGGTGCAGAGAGAAGTGCAAGAATTTTGCGTACCCCCAGACAATAAAGACCCGGCTGGGGGCCCCGCCGCCGCTGCTCTGGGTCCTGAGCTGCCGCAGGGCCAGCATGCAGTGTCCGGGGAGCCATTTTAGGAGAGAGATCAGGGGTGTCGACTGCAAGCCCGGAAGGGAAAGGCTTGGGCCGGGGATGGAGATAGGGAGGCAGATAAATGTGCTGGCGGTCTGGGCTGAGAAGAAGGGGCGGGCGGGGGGGGGAGAGCTGGAATCTGGGCGGGAGACCTGGAATCTGAACGTGGGTGCCAGCAGCGAGAAGGGTGCACACAAGGATGGGCAGTTCTGAGGGGTGGGGAGGCTCCTTGCCCTCCAGTTGCCACCGACCTGTTTGCGCAGTATTCTGAGGGAAGCAGAGGTAGGAGGGAGGCGGAGGAGGGTGAGTGGGAGGGAGAAAGGGAGGGAGGAGAAAAAGAGGAAGGGGGAGAATATCGGCCAGAAAATAGATATGAGCTCAGATCACCCGCCTTTCCTCTGTCTGTCGGCATGGTGGGCAGATACACCGCACCGGCAATGCGGCGGTCTGGTCCTGGGAGGGAACCAGCTTCACAGCCTGCGTCGCCTGCCCTGGGAAAAGGGCTGAGGCCCAGGACCCAGTGTTTCCGATTACTTGGGCAGAGGAATCCTGGAGAGAGGGGCAACTTCCTGCCCTGGATTCTGAAATTTGGGTTTGGGCAGCTTCTTTCTGAGACTGGTTTTACCTTTGGAAAGCCCTGGCTCTCCCAGAAGCCGGAGCCCAGGCCTTGCCTGGAACCCCAGGCTAGGAAAGAGAGACG